CGCACGTGACCCCCCTGTCGGGCCTTATAAGGCGCGGAACCGAAAGCGGCCGCCGGGTGGTCAAGGGTACCGAGCGGCCGGGAGCGGCCTCCGCCGGGGTCAGGCGCCGGGCGCAGCGGGAGCCGCGGAGAAAGGCCGGGCAGGGCCGGCGACGCGCTGGTGGTCCGGGCCCGGAGAGCCGCCCCCGGCGCCCGCGTCCCCGCCGACCTCCCCCGGTGCCGGCAGCCCGCGCCCGCATCCCTCCGGACGCCGGCCGGCCGCGCTGCAGGCGCCTCCCTCCTCCAGGCGTCGAGGCTGCAGCGACAGCACTCCGGACGGGGACCGACTTCGGCCCGCAGCCGCTCGCGCACCGGCCGCGCCAGGGATGCTCGCTTCGCTGTGATGCTCAAAAGGCTGCAGATCGGCTACCGTCGGCAGAAGGGGGGGAGCTTGAGGGAGGGCTTCTTTTATTCCTTTTTCATCGTTAACGGTTTCCTGGAAAGGACACGCGCTAAGGAGTGGGTCTGCCATCCAGTTCCAGGACGACGTTCAGATTAGGAGAAGGGGCTGGCCCGCAGTGTAGGCTCAATAAATGGCCCGTCGTCTTCTCCCGCCCTTTGAAAATACAGATAGCTTTTCCCATCATCTTTCTGGCATCTGAGTCCGTTTCCATCTCATTCCAATCCAAGGTGGGCATTCACCGCTCAGTCCCTCCCCTGGACGTCCAGGTTCCTCCCATCAGCATCTTCCCATGGCCCTTAATCATGTCAAACACAAATCACACATTTTGAAAACAAGCGGAAACATTAAAAACGCTTACTTGATCCAGCCTGCCTCCAGTCCTCACCTCACAGCCAAGCTCCTTGGGAGATAAATGCCCGTTGCTGATCTCACACCCATATCTTAAGCTGCCACTCATCCATCCCTGCAAAACTTCTGTGACATCTCCTCCTATTCCCAGGGAGGATCCTCACAAAGGTCATCTGTGGCTCCGGAAATCTTCTCAATCATTGGGCTTGGGTCCCATCCCCTCACCACCTCTCACCCCACCCCCACCCCACTTTCTCTTTTTACTTAACCTATCTGGCAACATTTGTCATTGGGGACCAGGCTTTTATCCCTGAAACTATCCCTTCCATTGGCACCTGTGACACTTCCGTCTCCATTTCCTCCTGGGCTCCTTTGCCGCCTCTTCCATGTTGGAATGCCCAGTCTGCCTTCCCTCGGTCTTTTTTTAATGCTGCCGGATGTGTCCAGAACCAAACCCAGCTTCAACTACCAACCATGTGCTACCTCGTACATTTCCATTCCTATCCCAGATCTCCAGTTCTGTAAACGCGATTTCTTACCAGAAATGTCTACCCAGACGTCCCACAGGCCTTCAACTCAGCTTGACTGAAACAGAAGTTAACTTTCCTGCCAGCTGGCTTCTCCCTCGAATCTCATGCTCTCAGTAAATGTCTCCACAATCCACCCAGCCAAGGAGAAATGTGAACAGGGTCCCAGGCTCCTCCTCCCCTCTCCTGTTGCCCCCTCCCGCACCGGAGGTTCCTGTCCATCACCTTCCCTCCATCTCACTGCTCCTGCCCCTGAAACATTGTATTATTTTCCGTATTAATCTCACGGCCTCTAAACTAGTGGCACCTTTACCCCTGCCATCTCTCACATGTTGGCCAAAGTAAACCTTCCAAAATACAAAACTGAGAGAGTCATTCCCTGGCTAAGACCTTCAAATGTCTCCCCATTACCTATGGGATGAAGTCCTAATATTTTAGTATCTATTTCTCCAGTCTCATCAAACACTCTGAGTTCCTCACATGTAGCTCCCCTTCATGCCACTTTTTATTTTGAACCTGTCATGAAATGTCCTTCCTCTTACTCCAGCTTTTCCAAATACGTATTCATCTTTCAGGATTCAACACTCTTGGGCCGCCCGAGTGGCTCGTTGGTTAAGAGTTGGCTTGGGTGCTTAAGCTCTGAGCAGCAGGGCTGCCGGTTCAGATCCCACGTGGGCCAGTGACGCTGCGCCCTCTACAGCTAAGATGGTGAACAACAGTTTGACCTGGAGCTGGGCTGCTGTGAGTCGCCGGTGACAGTGTAGGCTGCAGCCCCTGCTGCAGTCGGCTTCCATAAGCTACCGTGTGTGGCTGGCAGCCAGCGTGAGCCGCAGTGAGCAGCTGTCCAATGGCTGGCGACCAATCTGCCTCAGCTGGGAAGAGCGCAATGATCACAATACCAACATGGGCCAGTGAAGCGACGTCCTCCACAACTAGACTGAAGAACAAAAGGACAGCAACTTGTCTGTTCCCCCTTCCCCGATTCTCCAACAAAAAAAAAAAACTTAAAAAAATAAAATTCAACATTCCTGATGAAATCTTTTGACCTCGCTGCAGGTTAAAATTGGTCACTCTCTAGTCTAAATGTACCCCATCGTAATGCCTTAGAAGACTATTAAACTCTTTTTTTTTGTACATATAATCTCTCTGATGACAAGTATTATAATGGACTTACCTCCATCTTCTAGTTCTCAGGACAGTTTCTGACACATAGTAGGTGCTCAGTAAATGGTGAATAAATTATGTGATAAAACTTTATTATATTCATGGCTATAGAAAAATCAGTTTCCCATGCACTATCTCATTTAATTTTCACAATTCTGCCAATAATATATTATTGTCATCTTTTGCAGAGATGGAAACTGAAACTAGAAAAGAATAAAGCAATTTGCTCAAGGTTCCACTGTATAAATCACAAAGCCAGGACTGTAGCCCCGTTTGCCTAGTTAAGTTTATTACATGTTTATCTGTCCATTGTTTTTTTCAGCTTCAATTCTATTTCGTATGATACAATAGCTTTCTTTTTTGTTAGTGGTTGCCTAGTACATATCTTTCCATCTCTTTATTTTCAACCACTCTGAGTCATTATGTTTTAAGTGTGTCATGTATGTAACAGTTGAAGTTCCGTATTATTAACTCATTCTGAGAGTCTGTCTTTTAGTAGCCTATTTTAATCAGTTTTCATTTATCATGTACATTAATTAGGGTAAAAGGTGGTTGTAAGAAAGAAGTCCTTCCTCCCTGCCTGGCTCCAAACGTAATGTAAAGGTCTTGGGCTAAATGGTCCGGGTTGTTGGGGTGGCTCCTTTGTTCTTCCAGCCCCTCGGGCATTGCCTTTACCTACCTGGTAGAAACTGGCTAGGGAGCTACAGCTCAAGGAAAGGAGAGGCATGAAGGAGGACAAGCCCAACTTCTTCAGGCTTAGACCCAGAGTGACACACTTCTCATCTGCTCATCTCCCATCGGCCAGAACATAGCTACAAGGTCACATCCAGCAGCTAGGAGTGCGGGAAATTGGGCCAGCCACGTCCCAACCACAATTCTCTTACGATGGAAGGCAGAGATAGATGTTGGTGAAAGCTAGCACTCTCTGTCACATTATGGTCACCTTCTTTGGATTGATTACCACCCTCTCATTTCATATTTATTTAAATTTCTTTTTCTCTGTTTTCGTCTCCGTTCTTACCTTCTATTAACTGAATTTTCTTTAGTTTACTCCCTTTTCTAAACACTGCTGATTTGGAATTTATACATTCCATTTCAATTCTTAGCGGTTACCCTTAAAATATTAACATTTGTACTTACCATCCAAGATGAGTCAATATTGTTATCCCCTTCCTTTAAAGATAATCTTAAACTAACAAATAAAAATAAACAAAACACTTAAACTCCCAGGTTCCTCTCCTATAAACTATGTATCGCTATCTTCTGCTTTCTTATTCCCCATTTATTTTTCAAATCTTTACTAAATTAGTCATCATTGTAACTACTTTTATAATTATTTTTTAATTATTTTTTCCAACATAGTTTATCAATGTTTGTCCTTACTATTTGTACTCCATTCTTTCCTTCTGGGCTCAATTTATATCTTCGTGACGTATATATAGTCTTTAGTATTTTTTTCATATCTGCGAGTAAAATTCTCTATATCTTTGTATATCACTCTCATTCTATTTTTTCCTCACATTCTTGAATCAGACTTTCATCAGCTAAGGAATTCTAAGTTGACAATTACTGACTCCAACACCTTGAGGTTACCATTCCACTACCTCCCGGAAGTCTGCAGTCCATCTCGTTGTTATTCTTTGATGAATGTTTTTCCTCTGTGTAGTAACTTAATATTTCTTTTTCATTTGATTTTACATTATTAATTAGTGTCTAGGTGGATTTTGTTTTTCGATATCTTGTTCAGGACTTGGTATGCATTTCCAAACTTAAGTCCTTTAGGTTTGGAAATTTTTCAGCCCTCACGTATTTCAAACATTTTCTCCCATCCCTACCTTCTTCATGTTTCTCTGTTTTATCTTTCTGAAACACCTATTAGATAAGAGTTGGAGCTTCTCATTTATCCTCCACAGTTTAATTTTTCTTTCATATTTTCCATCTTTTTACCTCTCTGTGCTGATCTTGGGGAATTTTCTCATATCTATCATCCAATTCCCTAATTCTCTTTGCAGCTGGATTTTCTACTCTATCTCCATTGAATGTTTATTTCCTTGCTAGAATTTTCATTTCATGGTTTTCCAAATCTATCTGTTCTTTTTTTCCCGAAATATCGTACTTTTATCTTGGAGTCTATTCTTTTCATTATCCCTGTGAACATTATAAACATATTTATCTAAAAGCCTCTTTCAGATTGCTCTATTATCTGTAGTTGATAGACTGTAACTTCACCCATTTGTTGCACTTGCTGAGTCATATTTGTGGCGTCTTGTTTCCTTGTGTGCTTTATAATGTCTTACAGTGAGCTTATCTTCAATGGACCTGTTTTCCATGGGAGTAAGGCATGCCCTGTGAGGTGTTACTTTTGACTCTGCCAGGGACCTATGGGTTTTCCTGGCTCGCTTACAGGTCTGACAGTGGATGCTGGAAGATTCAAACAAATGAAAGCTGGCACTGCTGGGGCTCCACGTGTATTTCTCTCCATCTCTAAGAGGCCTCTCCACTCCTCTTCCCAGCATGGTGGCTTTAGGGTACCTGAATTGACTTCTTATGTGTAGGATCAGGGCTCCCAAGATGCACGTTGAGAGAGCAAGCCAGGTGGATGCTAAATTCTATTATCAACTCAGCTCAGAAATCATATAGAGTCACTTCCACCAAATGAATTGATTTGAACTGTCACAAAATCCTGCCCATTTCCAAGGGTATGGAACATAAATCCTACTCGTCAGTAGGAAGATTATCAGAAACATTGTAAGAGGAACATGTGGGGTGAAATCTATATACTTGTGCAGCCCTCTTTGGAACATACAACCTGCCACAGTAATAGACCTCAGTAAGTTTCCATGTTC